TAAACAGTGCTTAATTGTCCTTGTATTAATACAAAAAAGTTCACAAATTATCTTAAGATAAATCTGTATTTTCCCCAAGTTTGTGAAAACTGCAAAAACCCTTCTATTTAGACTAACCTCTGATTAAACAACATTCAATAACTGAGATTCAAACCATCTCCCAGATGGAGGAGCTGGGAGAAAATAAAGAGGACAGTTTTTACAAAAACACTTTGATGCTAAAGATAAGATGATCCAACACTGAAAACCAGTGTGACCAGAGGCTTCCCCGGTGGCCTTGTGGTTAGGACTCCAAGCTGTCGCTGCTGGGGACACAGGTTCAATCCCAGGCTGGGGAACTGAGATTCCACATGCCACGTGGTGTGAGACCAAAAAACCAAAATAAAAAAATTCAGTGTGATGGGAGTCAGCAAAATATAAACATGTAATAGTAAAACCCTTTAAGGAGAATGAGTAAAATGCAATTTATGGGATCATCTATGACTAAAAATCTGAACTCAGCCTTTATTTTTAAAAATTTTCTCTAAATTTCTTCAGATTACAAGGTCTAAAAACTTTAAAAAATCCTATAGACTTAAACATCTTTATTATATTAGGTAATATTTTATACTTAAGAAGTCTACCAAATATTTAAGAATCCAATTTTTACATAAAGTATGTTCCACCGATTGCATTTTACAGAAAAGAAAAATTAAATGACGTTTTAAAAGTGACATTGGGTTAAATAATGACACTAATAACATAAATCAGCCTTAAGTCCCAATTAAAATTTCTAATCATTACCCCTATTCTCACAGATCTTGGCACAAATATTTTTAAAATGCAGCAGTCTACTTATTTTTTGCACGTACTTAAAAATTTTTTAAATTACATGCCCTCAATTATGATAAATGAAATTTTTACCTATGTTCTAAATTAGCAATCCTTGAGATAGTCCTTTGAGATTAAAAAAGCAAAACAAAACTTGAAAATATTTCTTTTAACATCAAAATTTCAATCTTCATTTTTATTTATTTGTTCAGGAGAGGAACTAAGAGCTTATAGTAAAAAATTAATGACATCATTCAAGCTGTTCCCTTTTTATAATATTCAATTATGCTAAGAGCAATAAAACTGTGCCCTTATTCCAAAGTTGGGCTCTCAGCCTATATTCAGCATGAAAATAGTTTCCTGTTCTCTGTCTAATGCACAAGAACAAGACAAAAAACTATTAAAGTGCTTAAAAGATACTTCAACAACACTTACATACTCAACGCTTAGCTCTTACCCTTCAAATCACTTCTCTAGGAATAAGATGTCTCTAAAGCTGGGGAGGAAAGGTGAGACTCTTACACAGCCAGGCATGAGCAGCATAAAACACATTTGATTAATTATCCTTAATTAAGTTTGTGTCCAGTTCCTCCCTTTCCCCTTTATTCCAACATAAAGTCTGAGCCAACCCAAAAGCAAGTTCTACTCATATAAACTCACATTCCTTTTTTTTTTTAAATGTCATCAAAGCCAAATGATTTTGGAATGAAAACTCCCCAAGGACTTCATTCAATATCTCCTGGGATTCCAAATAAAACCCAACTGCACTAAAAAAAAGAGAGAGAGAGAAAAAGCTCCCTTGAAAGTTCCAAGAGTATGCAGTTGTTCTTTTATCAAAATAGATTTTTCACAAGTGACCCAAATAGAATTACAGCTTCGGAAAATCAACCCTTTAATTCTGAAGAATAATTTGCACCTAGAGAAAAATTCCAGGTAATGGTTTTCACTCCATGTGGACTTTAGACCAAATCTATTTATCTGGATTTTGCTTAAGTCTGGGTATAACCACTTGTTGTGCTTTGCTGCAGGACCACCGTCCTAGTTAGAGTATCTTACAACAAGCTGCTTTTGATACCTTAGTAACTGAACAACCTTGGGTAGGGTTCCAGACAAACCCGACCATAAAATTTTGGGATTTTAATTAGGTTTCAATGTACTCTGTCAATGGTACAGCACAAATCAGATGGCAATTTTTCCATTCAGTTAAAACCTTACTTAATGGGCAGCATGTAAGTGGCACAACTTTGAATTCAGGAAACCCATAAATATTAACTTTACCCCAAAACACTTTAGGGAAAGAGACAATTCAAGGAACACACTTGATAAATCTTAACATTATGTCCAAAATCTGTTCTTAAATTGTTGTATGACAACTGACTTTTCAAAAGTCAAATCACATCTGGTAAGTAACATATAAAAGGGATAATTATTTGAAGGCACCCTTTAGGGAATCCTTTTTGTAAAATTTAGAATTTTCATATAACATAAGTAACCACTACTTGTTTTGTAATCTTACACTTGTAAATATCAAATTTCTTAAAAGTTGAGCACAACTGCTTTTCAGGGCCAAATTCTTCCCAGCGTTACTGCGCTTCTCTCTCTTTCCCCAAGTTTTAAAAATGTCACCCCAAAAAACAGCTGTTCATCTGTAGTAGAATATACAACACTAGAAAAATCAAAAAAGAAATTAAGTGATTCTTTAAAATGTAAAATAGAAATGTATGGACTCCCAAAGAAAGGTCAATGAGCTATTTTTGGCAATAATCACAATACATGCCTGATTAAAATGATTTTTTTTTGAAAAATCAAGAAATTCATATCTCAAATCACTTTCCCATGTGCCTTCATCACCTGCAGGAAACTATTCAAGAACTGTTTATCTCCATGAACACATGACCTCCCCGATAGCACCAAGGTCAACGAGACTTACAGGAGGGGGGATATGCTGATTAAGTGCTGATTTGCCCAGTTCTACAGTTCCCTTTAGAAACAGAGAAGGAAGGAAGACAAATAAAAATTTATTTATGTAGTACAGGAAATGATGTTCTAAGTCGTAACATTTAAGTACCCCATCACAGGATTGTATACAGACATATGTCAGCAACTGCCATAGGAGTAAGACCTAAAAGGGGCATCAGAGCACAGAACCAGATACAAAAATAGCTGCAGAGAAAGAATTAACAAGATGGTACACTGAAAAATCCTCCCTCACATGTTGTACTGAAAACCTTTGGTACCCTGGCTATGGCTACCAGGACTCAATTTCAAAGTGAGAGTTCTCCCTTGATAGAACTTTTTGAAAATGATGACTAACCAAAGATCCATAAACAACCAAAGCAGCACCCACGTATCAGAAATGCTTAGGTAAGGTGAAAGTTTGTATAACATATGCGGTGCTTGCCAATTAACATGAAATTCACCAGGTGTCCTGGCGTTCCTTAATTTTTACCAAAGACATTTCCTCAGGGGTCACAATCCTGCACCTTCCACAGACCGGAAGTTTTCTTGGATGAGATTTTAAACTCTAAAGCACATTACCCACTTGGTATCATCTGTTTAAGCTAGACTTCCACTCAAAAAAATCTTTACCATGTGAAACTGCTATAATGGAAATTTCCAAACAACTTTCAAACCTGAAAAGAAGACATAATGTTACAGCTAGCACCTGATCATTTGAAAAGTGACTTTGTGGAGAGCAACTCAACTATGGATGATTCGTTTCAACGTCTGGTAAATAGGTTGCATGCATTACAACAGCGGAAAATTAAAGAGGGAAAAAGAAATGAGCAAAAGCAGTGGTTATTCGCAATCAGCAGAGGACTGCACTGATAGCCCGCTTCCCAGTTACTTTCAGGGAAGCTCCTGATTGGTGGGTGGCACGGGGTCAATGTGATTACTTAACCCTGGCAGTTATAACTAAACTCCACTTTGATGGGCTCCAAAGCTTATTACAAAAAAAAAAAAAAAAAAAGACGGCTGCTGGAACATATCAAGTACTTCAGTGTCCTGCCTCTCTGTTTTTCTCGCAGAACCCGGAGCCTGACACCCGAAACTCATCAGACAAACACCGCTTCGTTTCAGGGCTTTAGGGTTTCGTATTTATTATTTTTAAAGTCCACTGGGCATCAATTCAGTTGGGTGGTGGTGATGGTGTGAAAGATTAACCCATTTCCTGCACACACACACATAGGGAAGAACTCCTGACCATTCAAGCAGTTCCCTCTCTCCCAAATAACTTTTTTTAAAAAAACATTTAGTCCTAAAATAACCATCAGTAACAAACATCCAACACTGGCATGGCAACGTCCACGCCTCATGCCCTAATGCTACCCACAGGCAGGTCTGTTCGTCTCCGGTCCATATGCAGGGGTGGGGGGTGGGGTCCCCCTCTCCCCTTCGGCCGGTCCAGCCGGGCTTCCCCCGAGTTTTGCTGTAAAGATCAGCCACTTTCGCTGTCCCGGGGGCAAAAAGCAAGGCGCCTCGTCCCCAGGACGGAGTTTCTCCCAACTGCCCGACAAACATTTCCTGAGAGCTCAGCGGACCCCGCCGCCCCGCGCGCACCTGGCCCGGCCCCTCACCCACTTTCCGCACTTCACCCCCCGAGAAAGGACCACCTGCCCTCCCGCCGCCGGTCCCCACGGCCGAGTCGCCCGACCGACTCCCGTCCGGCAGCGGCACTCCCCTGGCCCCGAGCGCCCGGCGCTCCGCGGCTGACCCCGAGGGGCAGGGACGCCAAAGGGGTTCCCCCCCGAGCCCCTCAACCCCGTGAGAGAGACGCCGACCCCGCGACGCCCCCCAGAGGCCGGGGACCGCGCGCCTGTCAGCACCCCCGGAAGGGGTCAGGCAGCGGGCTGAGCCGCCGGCTGCCCGGGCCGCTCCTGACACCCAATCTCTCCGCCGCCCGCCCCCCACCGCACTCACCTGGCGGGCTCCGGCCGAGGGACCAGCCGAGGGGGTCGCGGGGGGGTCTTGGCGCGGAGGCCGCGGGGCCTCCCACCCGCCCGCGCCCGCTTCAACCGGCGCGCGCCCGGCGCCCGACGCGCGCCCGAAGCGAAGCGGGGAGGAGGGGGCGCGGGGACGCGCGAGCGCCGGGGGAGGGGGCGCGGAGCGCTGAAGGGGGGCCGGGGACGCGGCGGGAGCAGCGGCTCGGCGGCGTCGGCGGCGAGAAAGCCGCCTCGGCCGCGTTCGTCATGGCGCGCGGCGGCAGCGGCGGCGGCTCCCTCCGGCCTCCCGGCTCCCTCGCCTTTAGTTTGACCTTTCCCTCCAGTGTGTCTGACGGAGAGCGGCGGTGCGCGCGCGTGTGTGCCTGTCTCGCTGTGTGTGTACGCGCGCGCGCGCGCGCGAAGAGGCCGGCTTCGCTCCCGACGCCTGACGTCACTGCTATGGCAACGACAGCCCCGCCCCTTGCCTCCGGTTTTTCCAGTCCCGCCCCCTCCCCCAGTGCACGTTCCGGGGCCTCACGTGCTCACTCACACGCACGCACGCACGCACGCACGCACGCACGTTCGGAACGCGCGCGCCCAGATCGTTGGGAGGGGTAGTTGGGAGGTCATCGGGGCCTCCTTGTAGCTTCCCTGAGTTCGACCAATCCGGTGAGGAGAAGCCGTGGGCGGGGCGGGTTTGGCAGCCGGAGCGGCGTGAAAAATTTCCCAAGGCAGAGCGAAAACTCTTCCTGAGCGACTGAGCATGCCCGGCGGTGCAAGGGGCGCTTAGCCTGGGGTTTTAGGTGGGCGGAGGGGAGGCGGTCCGGTAGTTCAGGAATGGGGACCCAGGGAACGAGCATAGGGCTCGTCAACTGATGCCGAGCTGGGACTGCGCAGTGAGAGACTCATGCAACCCCAGTTGCAGTCTGGCCCCGCCACTGTTGCTGTGTGACCTTGGGCGTATTACTTACACACTGAACTGAATGTCTTGTGTCAAATGGGGTTACTGAAATCTACCTTAATGGTTGTGAGGATTAAAAGAGAGCGTGGAAGACGCCTCACCTTTCATATCGTAGACCCTAAATAGTAGTATGGAGCCCACAACCATGAATGGGGACAGAGGACTCAGAGAGATGAGATTAAGTGACCTGTTCATTGTCAGGTAGTGGCAGAGATCCAGGCTTCAAGTTCAGTACTCTTGCCTACATGGCTTTCCTTCAAGGAAGCAGGGTAGGGGTCCGGGGGAGGTGGATCACTAAGGAAAGCATGTGAAGAGCTTCCTTTGCTTTCTCTGAATCTTTTTAATCCACACGAACGCTCTTCTCATCGCCCGCCTAAAGTTTAGAACTTTAGAAAAAAGAGCTGGACAGCCTTGGTGCAGTTTTTGGAGGGCAGCTCTCTGGCTATTAATTTGCCCGAATAAGCGCCAGAATGGCGTTTTCCTGTTTCCTTGGGGAGCCTCAGTTTTTCCTAAAGTTTTGGTTAAAGTGTAAACACAGTAGCAAGGTCCCCCACAATTTCTGGCTACCGAGGAAAGATTAACTCAGTTAACCAACATTTACCCTGTGTCCACTGAGTAGGTGAGAATGCCTTTCCAGCCCACAAAAGACCTGTGACCTCAGGTCTGTACGGGTACCTTGTGATTCAGTCAAACACACTGGTGACCTCATCCTTCCGTGTGCTTCTAGTCCCTTCTCTGACTTTGCTCTTAATACTAACTGCCCCGTGGTATTTCTTGAATGCTATAATACTATTTAACACTAGATTTGCTGTTAAGTGTTTAAAAGTATTTGTCTCCCTCCCTGTCTTAGAGTCCCCCCCAAAATACCTAAGTCTGATCTTGGTAAAGGACATCATCAGCTTCTCAAACATGCTCTTATACTCCCCACTTTCCGGAACTCAATTCACTGGAGCCTTTCAAATTTCAACTAAAGCATACTTCTGTCCAAAAAGTTTTGCTGGCTCTACTTAGAATGAAATAGTGCCTTTTTCTGAGCACTTGGTGCATTCCTTGCTTGGGACATTGTTCCTGGTAGACATTGTATTCTGTGATTAGCGTCCCTCGCCTAGAGGAAACTTCTCTGGACATCCACAGAGGAGTTGGCTCTTCCCACTCCTTGCTCCCATAGCATCTTATGATGTAATAAATCACGCCTGACCCATTCCTTTAAGGTTTGATTTATTCACCTTCTCCATCAAATTTAAAAGTCTCTAACGGCAAGAAACGTTTGCATTTTCAGCATTAATCTCAGAATCATATCTACAGAATGACTAACTATTGAATGGCTAAATGGCTCCTTGCCTACTTCATAAAGTTCTTAGGGGCAGCCTTTACTTTGTGTTTATATCTCAGAACCAAATATTTTCTGGGAAGTTATAAATCTTTGACTACTCTAAAATGCACCAGAAATTACATGGTCACACTCATGCAATGAAGAAAGGCTTTGGCAGTAGCACAAGATGCTGAGCAGAGCAAGAAGTAGGAAGTTCACAGAGTTCCCTAGTGGTCCAGTGGTTAAGAATCTGCCTGCCAGTGTGGAGGACATGGGTTCGATCCCTGGTATGGGAGGATTTCACACGCTGCAGGGCTGCTAGGCCCATGGGCCACAACTACTGAGCCCACGAGCCACAGCTACTGAAACCTGCACCCTCTAGAGCTTGTGCTCTGGAACAAGAGAAGAAACCTGAGCATCAGCACTAGAGAGTAGCCCCTGCTCATTGCAACTAAAGAAAGCCGGCACGCAGCTAAAATAACTTAAAAAAAGAAAAAAACCTCCAAACAAGAAGAGGAAATCCAGAAGAGGTCGTGATTTCTTACTCACTGCTGCTGTGGACCTAGAAAGATTTTCAAATGTTGCTAAGGATAACAGGCAGATTCCTCCAAGTGATACTGCTCCCACAAAGGAGAAAAGTTATGCGAAGAGGAGCCTTGAGAAAGAGATCAAACAGTGTTTGCTTACTCTGTACTGGTGGCATTTGCTCCTGTGCCTGGTGAAAGCCTGGTGATGTTGCTGTGTGTAGTCCTGGCCTCCCTTTGCTGTATTGTTTAACTCCTTATATGTGTGTGTGAGTGGACCCCTACCAAGCCTCGTCCTCTTATTCCTTATGTGAATGGCACTGCCAGAGTTAGTTGCTCAGTCGTGTCTGACTCTTTGCGACTCCATGGACTGTAGCCCACCAGGCTCCTCTGTTCATGGAGTTCTCCAGGCAAGAACACTGGATTGGGTCGCCATTTCCTTCTCCAGGGGATCTTCCCGAACCCGGGATCAAACCTGGGTCTCCTGCATTACTGTCTGAGCCTCCAGGGAAGCCCAAACACCCAGTGCATGCCAAATTGCTTCAGTGGTATCTCTTTGTGACCTTATAGATCGTAACCCGCTAGGAAATCCACTGTCCATGGGGCTTCTCCAGGCAAGAAAACAGAGTGGGTTGCCATGTCCTTTTCCAGGGGATCTTTCCCACCCAGGGCATGAACCCACATCTCTGCATTGGCAGGTGGGTTCTTTACCATTAGCACCACCTGGGAAGCATCCAGTAGCACAAGTCATTCTCAGTTTATCCCCACCTCCATCTTGTCAGTCTTTTAATTCCATAAAGTTATCCTTTCCAATGACGGGGATAGCCATGAACTGCTCCCCATGCCCTCAGTTTTCACAGGATCCCTCATCTGGACAAAACCCTCCTTAAATGGTCTCTTCACCTTATCTTGACTGGTCCAGCCCAACTTCCACTGTACCCTAGAGTCCAGAGAGACTTTTCTAAAAGGCAGAGAATTGACCAAGTCATCGAACAGCTTAAAAGTCTTCCATGACTCCCATGTTCCTCCTCAGGAAAAATGATCAAACTTCATCCATGTTTTGTTTTGTTTTTTAAATGTTTCATCCTCAGCCAGTTTCTTCAGCCAGGTCTCCCACTACTTTTGCAAGAACTCTTGCTCCAGGAATGTTGAATACTTGTAGTTTCTCATACATACCTTGTTCTGTGTATACGAAGGTTCACCTACCTGGGATTCTCTGTCCACACCCTCTCCACCAAGTTAATTGCATTTGTGCTTGCTATGTCTGTGAGGACCGCCATGCTTCACCCCTCTGGCATGGCTCTTAGTCAGTGTTTTGAGTATGCCTTATGTGTTCACATGTCTTATCTTCACTAGACTGTGAGCTACTTGAGGGCAGGGGGTTTGGTATATTTCATTCCTGTATGTAACTCTAACACCTACTGGGGGACTTCCCTGGTGGTCCAGTAGCTAAGACTCCCAGCTCTCAGTGCAGGCAGCCCAGGTTCAACCCCTGGTAAGGCAGTTAGATCCCTGCACATGCCATGCAACTAAAGATCCTGCATGCCACAGTATAGCTCAAAGATCCCTTGTGCCACAGCTAAGACCCAGTGCAGCCAAATAAATAAATAACCACATTTTTAAAACATGTTGGGTTAGGAAAAAAGACGTTGGGTAAGTACCTCATTAGAAAGTGAGGAGAACATTCAGTTCCTATCTGGAGGGATCTCTTGCTCCAGGCTTTAGAGGCCCCTGGAGGTGGAGTGGGGCTCCCGCAGAGTTGCAAGCACACTCTCTACTGCAGGACTCTCTCCCCTCTCTGGGAGAGTCAGCATCTTTGACGAGAATAGAGACTTGTAGGGAAAGGTGGTGAATGAGAAAGAAGTGGGAAGTGAAAGTCTGTGACTACCCAGTTAGCCGAGAAACTCAGTGGGTCCTGGTGGTGAACAAGGAGAACCTGATGTTGCACCTTCATAGCCTGTTCAGACTGATAGACTGAAGTTACTGTGTGGGTGATGCACACTGCACAACCATAGGGGGCGCTGTTTCCATGGGTGTTTCTAGGAATGACTTCCTCTGTACCCTACTCAACGTGTAGCTGCCCTGATTGTGATGTATACAAGGCATATCTCTGTCTACATTGGCAATTTAAAGGATCCCAATTATACTTTTGATGATACAAATGGATAAATATTTATTGAATGCCCACCAGTTTTCATCTCAAAAACTTAAATGACTTTTATTGTGTAGAGTTATTTCTAAGGACCTGTACATATCTTGAAGTACTTACTAGACTAATAGCATTACCATTCATTTATTATTTCTAATAAGCAACAATTGAGCAGCCAAGTTCCAGGCATGATTCAAGAGGCTGGATTCAACGAATGTGTTGAACAGTAACTAGGTCTTATAAAAAACTAAATATTAACTGAGTCCTTCAAAAATAAAGAGTTTATAGGGGTTTCCCTGGTGGTGCCTGGTGGTCCAGTGGCTAAGGCTCTGAGCTCCCAATGTGCAGAGTTCGATCCCTGATCAGAGAACTGGATCTCACATTCCACAGCTAGAGGTCCTGAGGGCCGAAACTAAGACCCAGCAAACCTAAATTATTAAATAAATAAC